TTAGTACATAAACCCTGTTAGTAAATAGAAATCTGAAATCCCCTGGCGAAACGTGGTCTATACAACTGTTCACAGGTCCGGTTACAACATAATCCATTATTACATAAAATCCGTTATAACGACCCTTTGCCCAGGTCCCTGGAGTGCCAAACCCTCAGTATAAGATAATATTGACCATGCAGGACCAAGGCCAAAACACGTAGGATAAAGCAGAAAGAGGAAACGCATTATGTCTATGTATTCGTGAATATGGACGATCCTTTGCATTCAAGGAAGAGTTGTGTTGGAGTAACTTGGAGATTTTCAATTATCTTATAACGAGTTGAAGCATCGATAATTTATGTTGTATCGAGGGTCGCCCCGGTAAGTACGAAGTAGTGCCTATTTCACCTTTAGCTGCAAGTCCTGCTATGAGATAAGTCTCGTTATAAGATAACTTTTTCGATGGCCCAGAGATTATCTACTAACGAGGGAGGACCTGTACAATGAATTTATAGAAAAAAAAGGACCAAGGAAATACTTCCTCCGTTAACAAAAACTTCGGGATGGAATTTTTGAGGGACTGGTTTGCACACAAACTGACGTGAAATGAGTCGTGATCACTTTCTCGACCTTCCCTGGCATGCCATGAAAGAGGTACGATGCAAAGAAAGTGACCTTTCACAACAAGCCAAGCGGAATCGATGGTTGCACTATGGCTCCATAGGTGATGAGAGTCATGGCAAGCGAAACTGAAATACCCCTTCTCCGAGTTGATAGTGCGCTGCTTGGCCTCTATTCTACTCGAGCCCTTAGTTTGAGAGGGATAGAGAGCGATGGAATGGAGCAGCGAGCCCATACAATGGGAGAGTGAACAAGGAGCTGCTCCGGTTGCATGGCGGAATGATGTAATTTTGAATTCTAGTTCTTGTTAAACCTGCACAAAGCCCAGATTTGAATCCTGAGGACCATGCTTTTCAGAAGTCTGCAGTCTGATGCGATTCTCGTGGCTAAGGAAAGTAGACTGGACTTGCTGGCCGCTGCCTTTCAGTGCTGGCAGGAGTATCCAAAAGAAAAAATGGAGTCAGTTTGGCTGTGCCTTTACTCCTCGTTTCGCGGAGTTCTGGAGAGCGGAGATGAAACCAGGGAGACGTACAATGTTTTTACGACTCCCTGGTGGAAACGAGAAATCACCACCGCTGCCGACCATGCAGATTGAAAGCCAACTTCCATGAACGACGGCGACATCATGTTCAGAGGAGTGTGATCAAAGAAGCCAAGGCGAGGCTGAAACGAGCTGAACAACGACTCGAGAGAGATGACCACTCGCGTGCAGCAGATGACACCAGCGACGCAGGGTCAAAAGTGAGTCGAGCGAATGCGACGCAAACTAAACTCTCTGCTCATTCCACCAACAATTTCTCTTGTAAAGACGCTGTGCATAGGCTGAATTACCTTCCCCCAGTGATTTGCAGTCGATACAAACTGTTCTTTACCTGTTCTAAGTGTTTTGATATCCATCAAAATCCATCACGAAGTTTTGCTAATGGAGGAAGTATAAGTTAAGCCTTAATGTCCACTAAATGTCCGAGACCAAATATAATGAATAAATTTTACCCAATTTTCTTGTCAGGCCGAAATATTTTGGCCCTTCATCTCTTGATATTTTTCTGCCATTTTTTTAGTCTTGTCACCTACAGGTTTGGATGCTGTATTTGACTCTTCACGCATATCTACTTCTTCGTATCATTTCTATACATTACTGAAATACTGTAAACAAACGGCGAGGAGACAATAATTTGATAACCGCAATCAATAAAACGAGCTGAACCGACATTTGTGTACTTTATTCATGCAATGTAAAACAGTGGAGACGATGTGCAATAAAACAATGAAAATATGAACAAATGGTTTAGAGAAAATACACCGTGTCACCGGGCCTGACAATCTCGTCCTTCATGAAAACTCACTCAATGGTTAACGTGTGGAATGCCTAGGCCCGGTGAATGCTTTTCTACATCGCTAGGCCAAACGTCATTGTCTAAACATTGTCTAAGAAAAACTACATTAAGGGGGAAACTACCGTAATGAAAACGTGCTTTCAGCGTAAGATTCAGAATATCTATCTGAGGCTGGGTGTATCTCAATTTAAAATATTGAAACAAACGGCGAGGAGACAATAATTTGATAACCGCAATCAATAAAACGAGCTGCATCGACATTTGTGTACTTTATTCATGCAGTGTAAAACGGTGGAGACGATGTGCAATAAAACGATGAAAATATGAAAATATGGTGTAGAGAAAAATACACTGTGTCACCGGACCTGGCAATCTCATCCTTTATGAAAACTCGCTCAATTTTCAACGTGTGGTACCGGTATGTTCTTCATAATTATTTTCATCGTTTTATTGCACATCGTCTCCACCGTTTTACATTGCATGAATAAAGTTCACAAATGTCGGTTCAGCTCGTTTTATTGATCAGGTTATGAAAATACTGTATCTTTGAATTTCTTATCTTTGTAGTTGTAGTCTCTTAGTTTAATTTCCATCATTCCCTGTGCTATTTCGAGATGAAGGGAACGAGACATTCAATACTTCTTAGGCATGTCCTAATTGACTGATGGTGATTTCTGGTGTAGATTCATGCGTAGACAAGACATGTTACTAATGTTGTCTGCCACTCTGCCTCGGTCCTTTTTTCAAAAAATAGTTCTCTTCTACGTTCCATAGGGACATCCACCTTGGGCACCCTGTTAGAAGACCATAACGGTCTGTTCGGAATGCCCAAGTAAAATAATAAAATACAATACAAATTACTAAACTCGGATTGAGAACCTAGGATCAGAATTAAGAAGAAAGGGCCAAAGGTTTACAAGTTATCCGTGATGGTCCAACACTGGCAAGTAGAAGCATGATATTGTTAAGCCATAACGTGCAACAGTTAGCACAATGATGGAACGTTCCAAGTCGGAATGCTGTTAGTGTGCTCATTTGAAATGTAATGGAGCTTGACGTCAGATCATTTAACCCTTTCACTGCTGCAGGGTTGTGCACACAGGCTCTGGAAAAAATCCGAAAAATAGGGCCGATGGCCAACTCCACTACGTTATGGTTCAGGCAACTGGGTCGGTGAACTTTTGGGAAATGAAGGCGAAAGCTACCAACATCACACTGACAAACTCGATAGGTTCCCCCAGAAGAGGTACAAAGCTGTATAGGACACGTAAGTTTGCTGAATTTGCCTAAAATACGGCAAAGTCGGCAATTGCAGTTGAAAAACCAGACGAAAAAAGGGAAAAAAGAGACGCAGAACGTAACCAAGCTGGATCTCTACCCGCAACCTCTCATACATGAAGCAGGGACTGTACCAACTGACCAGCAGTGACTACACACGTGAGGAGAAGACTAAAACCGGGTATTTATACCATGACGTACATGTACGTCATCAGAGCCTGGACGTCATCTAGGATGACGTACTTGTACATCATCCGCGGTGAAAGAGTTGATGGCTGTGCCGCAGTGGTCATTGTTATGCTAAAGGTCGCACAGTATGACTCATCAATATCATCCATGTAATCGCCAGTGTTGAACAAATGCGGTTTAAGTGTAAACCGTTTGGTCCTTTCCTCTTGACAATACAAATCGCACATTCTTTGCCTAGAGTAGATGAAACCAGATAAGGTTTCGAAAGGGGTGGAAATTGGCAAGCAGTGTGTTTGTATGAAGGTTTTATTGGCACACTATATACGCAAACCAATGCGCAACAACATTGCTACCCAATGCAAAGCATCTCAATAATCCCACACTCACTTAACCTCTATGCTCATACAATTTTCTCTGATCTCGAAATGGTCAGTCACGGTACTGATTTTATTGTAAGGAAGACACACGCATAGCGTTTGAAAATGAGTAGAGCATGCTAGAGAGAGAGAGAGAGACGTTGTTGGAGAGCGGCTGGATAGCAGGGTACTGTATATCACCTTATTTTCGGTGTAAAATTTCGGTAAAAGCCAACCCCTGACCTTTCGGTGTAAGGATAAATTCGGTGTGCATGGCACAAAAAAAAACGCTCTTGCACTAATATCTCCGCCAAGCAAGGCCAAAAGGCTCCACATATGTATACCGGTACATGTTATGTATGTACAATGTACACCAGTATACAAGTTGATTTTTTTAATTTGACAGTGATTTTCATGATTTTACATATTTTTGGTATTTCGGAAAATTTAGGTGTAATGTTAAATTAGGTGATCCAGGACCAGTACCGAAGTTACCGAAATTTAAATTACACCGAAATAAAGGTGTTATACAGTAGTGTAACAATAAGAGCACTAGGGGAAGGCTAGGTTTCATGTATCTAGACCTCAACAGAGACTGTGCGAAAAGCCAGTCGATAGCACTAAAGAGTAAAGACAACTACAGCACTGCTCAATAGAATGCAGTCGCAACCTTCAAGTATGTACGGGGTGTTGCACAGCCCTACACCTGCGAACACTGGGCTGTGAATTGTGCGAGGCGCAAACTTGTGCGACATGACTGAATTTCATTGAGCAGCAATGTGCAACACAGTCAATTGCTTCAGATAATCATGAAAAACTGCACAACATGGGCAGACGAACGGGAACACATGATATGTTTGGCTGCACTGTACACCGTTTGCACTGTGGAACAGAAGTGAACAAAAATACACGGCTGGTCAGCTGAGTTAGTCGACTGGTCCAGTGGCTGGTTTCCGACGGAAATAGCTCACGAGTCGTTGGTGAAAGATCACTTGTTTCGGCCAGTAAATCATGACGAGGCGCAAAGCTATCATACTTCCGAGCACAATACAAAAATAATTTTGACTAACCGAGACACATCATCTTCAAGTCAAACGGCCCACCACGGCGAGCCAAACTATCGCATTCGACCGCTCTGTTCGATTTCAATTATCCAATGTGGCCCTTCGAAACCCCAGATTGCTAACCGACCCACCTACCTAACTACGCGGGTGTCCAAAGATGTGCACTCTCTTACCTTGACAGACACACTTAGCATGATTCTCGTGTGGTCTCCGGCTGGCGATAGCGCCTTGGCATAAGTTGAAAGGGCTTGGTCCAGCTTGGGAAAAAAAGCTTTCCGCGTGTTAGAATGTTGAACTGAAGTGCGCGGAGCAAAGAAAAGCACCTCTTCAGTTGTCAATCTACCAAAGGGCTCTGGTTTTGGTCCAAGTTCTTACCCCTCCACACGAGAACAGAGGGCCAAAGGCAAGCTAAAATCTACTTCACACCGCGATGCAAAATTCACTGTCACCAGGAAGAAGAAGACTGTACTAACTTGTCGGACAAAGGCACATGATGCTGCAAAACAATGGCCGGTCTCGACTCCAGCCTCGCGCGGTGGGTCCAAAAAATACGGCGATGTCGACCCGATAGCGCCGGGCCCGCAGCATAACGCATGCGCGCGGATGCTGTTCAGCTGGCCCAAATCATACACTCATGTCAAGTGCATATGTGGCTGGTATACCGGTAGTAGATCTACGATCTACTGGCACTTACTGGTAGATCTACAGTGGTAGTCTACATGGTAGACACGGCACCGGATCGTTGCTCAGGCCGCCGGGTCGGCCGGGAGCTGCTTACTTGTAGCAGCTACACATAGATCTACGTGGATCTACTGTCATGGACGTATGTAATCAAGTAGATCTACGCTCAGGACAGGTCAGGAGGTCATGATGACTGAATCTTGCCCGCGGCCCGAGCCTGCAGCCTTGGCCGTAGGCCCGAGCCGGGCTGCAGGCAAGCCGGCCATCATGACAGACCTAGACAGAGCGTGCTTGATTTCATTTCTTACAGCGCGAAGCAACATATTAGGGAAGGTCAAAGGTCAAAAGGTCGAAAAAAGATTCCCGAAATGACGCCAAACGATCCTGACCTTCCCGAAATGACGTCAAACGGTCCTGAAACTCTCGAAATGATGTCAAACGGTCCTGATGGCCTGATTATGCCCGCGGCAGGAAGATCGCCTATTGGCCATGGGCCCGGCAACGATCACGTGCCATGTAAGAATCGTTGCATGCAATGCACAATCATGTTGATCCGATGCGCCCAGCGCGCTACAGCGCATACCCTGGCCTGGGGCCGCTAGACGTGTGACCGGATTTCAACGATTTTCATGTCCACAACATGCGACAGTAGATCGACATCATCATCTACTCATCTACTGTTATCTAGATCTACATGTACATGTACATAGATGGATAGCTCATGCATGCATGACCGACTCGACTAGCGTCATTTGGGGAATCACTGAATTTGGGAGGTCGGCTGTTTGACCTTTCAACCTTTGCCCCTTGGCTCCTTTAATTTCTAGAGAGCTAGAGGATCACGTCCAGAACAGAGTAGCCTGGGCCATGGGATAGGCTAGGGATATCAGCGAACACACTAGTAGACCCAGGTGCTCGAAGTCCGCACACTTTTACAGTGTGTGTTTGCCGAGCTGAAACTCACACTAGCAATGATCACTTGCCAGAATCCTGCTCGTGGATGGAAGGTATCTTGTCCAAGTTTGTTCTGAGGCCAGGCTGGATTGAACCAGGCCATCTTTCGATCCGATCTGTTTCTCTGGAGTTCGCTGATTTTTCATATCAAATTTTGGTGTCGCAGAGGGTACTCTAAGTCCGTACTGATCAGAGATGACTCGAAATACACACATATTTCGGCTAATTGCTAACTTGCAATCCCTCGGTTACGACGAAAGCACCGAAGGGATATGTTTGGCATGTGCCTCCACCAGTATTTCTTGCAAAAGCGTAGTTTGTTGCCGAAATGCAAGCTGTTTCAGTTAGTTAGTCGGCTCAGAGAAGAAGCAGCTGCGCTGTGAAAACCGCGGGAAAACAGTGGTGGAGATGCCAGGAGTGTCAACCTTTCTGCAAGGATTGGTGGTTCTCTGTATATTCTTCTCCTCTGGTCATTGTCAGCTCTAAGCTGGCTCTTGATGATTGAGTGAAGGCCTGTTTGATGCTGTGTCCGTTCGAAATCGGTCTTGGCAAAGTTGATTTTTGCATGAAATGTAACCCAATTTGTATTTCGTATGGACACTCGAAAACCCACTCGCGTGGTATGGGACTTCTGCTTATCGTAGATCCATGAAAATTGCTACGCGAGGCGAACATACCACACTGTCCCCTCCATAAAATATTTGAGTCGAATACAATAACAGAACATGAAATTATGGGCGTAGACCCGGGTGCTCGAATGAGACACAGGGTACCAAAACAGAAACACCCTGAAATTGTACCTAAACTTGTTCCGATTTCGTTTAGTTTTCACAAATACCATCAACATTATAGCAATAAAAACTGCTTTATGGCAGTTTTCTAAAAAAGGTTATTGTGTTCTAGTCCATGGACCCCGTCTAAAAAGTAAGAAATTAACGAAATGTGATAGCCGAAAATTAAAATTTCACACAAAACCTCACAATAATCACAACACTTGAAATGCTGCTTTCAACACTAAACTTGTACTGCACCGACAATTGGCAACATGCATGTCATGCATGCATAGGAAAGAGGATCACGAGGGGAAAAGGTCTTCTACATGTAGCTTTTCATTCTGTGTGTGATTATTGTGAGGTTTTGTGTGAAATTTTAATTTTCGGCTATCACATTTCGTTAATTTCTTACTTTTTAGACGGGGTCCATGGACTAGAACACAATAACCTTTTTTAGAAAACTGCCATAAAGCAGTTTTTATTGCTATAATTTCTTTTGTTTTTTCTGTCACCAATCAATGGAATGTCCTATATCAGTACGTAAATGATGGCCTTCACATCATATCAATACCGTATTATACGCATTGATGTGCAAGCCTTTTCTTGCAGAAAATGGCACTAGCATGTTCTTCTGCAGGGAAACATGTGAGTAGTGGTGGACCGTGGTGATACTTTTTTTTATACGGAGGTCATTCTGTGCATGTTGCTGTAGCAGAATTTCATGACTGTCATAAAATTGTCTTGCCTTTCAGATATTTCAGATTTCCCCACCCTCGATCAGATTTATTTGAGAAATGTAACCAGGTGAGCGCCACATATGTTTTTGTTGATTCTGTGTTGATAATGGTTTATAATCATGGGTTATCGTGATAAGGTCATCCTGCATCATATTGCACTGAAATCGTAATCCTGTTGATGTCGATACAACATTTGGAAGTAGTTCAATGACTTCAAACTGTTGGTCCACGATTTTCTAAAACAACACAGCAAAGGAGGAACAATAAATATGTATTAAAATTTAAACAAATACATTGCTGAGTCCGACACCTCGATCCAACAACTACACTGATCCTGAGGATAAAAAAGGGGCAAGGCTATGGTTGGAGGTACTGAGAGATAAACAAGGCACTCCATAATAATAAAATCTTACACATCTTTTGGTGAGTATGAATGATATCCAGTCTAACCTCTTTAGGACGAACACCAAGGGACCGATGGTATTTATTCTGTGAGTTTGTTTAACCTATTTTATAACCAGTGAACGCAATTATTTCTCCAATAGGCGTACAGATGGATTTCTTCTACAGCGAAAGATTCTAAGCCACACCAACTCATTGACTCGTCTCGTATGAAAGAAATGAGTCACTAGAGAGGTTCTGCAAAACGAAAATGCGTACAAACTTTCGTTCTACGTCATGAAGTGCAAAACTTCTCATGAACTTTCGCAACTTTGGACGCGAAACTTGCAGGGAACGCGAAATGAACTGTCGTACACACTTTCGTGAGATAGGGTCATGGCGTACGTGCACTTGGCCCGCGCAAACTACGAAAATGTGCAGAACGCAAAGTTCGTGCAAAAATTCGTACACACTTTCGCAAGCACTGTCGCGAAACTTCGTTCGAATTTTCGTTTTGCAGAACCTCTCTACTGAACGTTTCTTTAGCAACATGACGGCAACTGAAACAGCAACAGAGAAAGTACGATACATGTACAGCACATTCTTGTAGGTACCACAAACAGATTGCAGATCGTAATTCTTGCTTTGGTGGCACGAAACTTTATTTGGGGCAGTGCAATCTCGGTGGTACTCACAAATAATAAATCAAACAGCCCAGACTCGAGTAAACAAATCCAATCATACAAGTACGAGATCTTCACGAGACGAGACTGCACCCATTGGCTTGTTTCGTATGAAGCAAACAAGTTTACTGAACCTCTCCATAATGGAGATTTTCCCTGATATGCGAATTTATTTTGCAAACTCGGTCAATGGGTCCTTGAACCTTTCCCTCCAGATTGGGAACTGCCAACGATAGTATGCCACTGACTAGTGCCTTACTTGTAATGTACCAATGTACAATGAATTATATTATGAGTATTTCGACAACACATCTAACATAAGCCTTACCGTCAAGAAGGTGAACTCGCGTTCTTCGCACACTGTAGACAAGGGCAAAGAGATAAAAATGGATCTAAATCCGAATAAAATCAGCACACGTTTCCGTAAATGAAAGGGTGAGCATAAGCAAATGAATCGAAGGAAACCGGTCGACTCAGAGATCACCTGTCATCGAGTATTCCGTAAAAGGAGGCCTCGGCAGCGGAAAAGCTAAATTTAGAAAAGAGCTCCTGTCAGCTTTTCCATTATTTATTGCATTCCGCCCAAAATCAGCACACTTTTCGTAAATGAAAGAGTCAACACAAGCAAATGAATCAAAGGGAACTGGTCAACTCACCTGTCATTGAGTAATATTCCGCGAAAGGAGGTCTCAGCAGCGCCGAAACGAAATAAGCCAGGCCAGGAGACGAAATATCCGAAACAGCTCATACAAGAAGCAGTTCCAAAGGAGAAAGTTCCTCGCGCATGCACATCCAAACACGGACTGCACTGCGCAACACAATGTCTGCCGTGCACGTGCACAGCACGCGGCTACCACCCGTTGGTAGATCTAATACCGAGCACCTTACGTAGAGACTTACGTAGCCTAAGTGAAATACTTTTTTTTTTTTTTTTTAAACAAGTTTTTTTGACGGATGCCGGATGGGAGTTTGAGCTCTCACTCGGACCTGGTTTCTGGCGCCCCGTTCGCAACTCACCCTGATGCAGAGTGGCCAGTGTTGCCGGTGCAACGGCAACGGCACCTGTGTCAGGTGTGACTGCACCAAGGCGGCACGGAAATGCTGGAGCTGCCTTCCGTCAAAGAAGGATCGTTGTAAAAATTCCGCCATCCCTTCTCCTCCCCAGCCGGAGCAAGCTGTCAACGGCCATCGACAACCTACGGTGCAGGACAACGCTACGGGAACAGTTCTAACCGTAAAATGCGATGATGCCAGCGTGGATGCCAGTGCAGCCAAAGCTCTCACCGCCACCCTGCTGGCAGAATGTCGAGATCC